AGAATATTGGCTTTAAACATATTAATATTTCATATCAGTATGGAGAATGCACGATTAATAAATTCACCCAAAATATGTTTCAGTTCTTTGGGTACTGGCTTAAAATGATACAATATAGTTGTAAAAAGTATCTACATCCTCATGTTTTTCAAATTAAGGAATGGCTTAAAATTACAGAACCTTTTTTTTTTTAACTTTGCTTTAGACTAGCATAATGTACACTAATTGCTAACTTGGTCTGCATTATTTTTTAAAGATCAAATGGGCACAGTGGTAATTTTCATTAATTTCATACAGAGCAGCTAATTAAAATTTCCATTATTATCTATCCATTATCTGGTTGTTTCCTTTGTTCAGTATCAGAACAGGATGTTAACAATAAACAATTTCTATATTATAGCCCTATTAAGTATAGTGATGTTTAGTTTAATGCTTTCGACTGTTTTGTAATTTGGTGATTTCTTAAATATTATGTTGTACCATATTGATAATGTTAAAGATAGTTTGACAATGACATTTTAAAATAGAAATCTCAGTATTAAACAGTTGTCGCTTCACTCTTATTAAAAAAAGTGGTATATAGTGGTTAAAGGAATGATTTGAGGACCATCATATTTGCATTTTATTCTTGCAACCTCACTAATTATTTGAGCTGCATTGTTTATTTCTGTAATGAGCCTATTAGAACTGATCTTCAAGGACAGTCTACCCTCAATCAACATGTCAGCATGTTTTCAAAATTTTTAAATATAAACTTATGTGAAACCCCAAAGTCCTACAAAGCTTAGCAAAAGTTATTTGTTCTACAAAGTTTTATATTTTCAATCATGTTCTATTAGATTATGTAGTGGGAGATGAGGGTGGGTTGAGCTCCAAGCTGGTGTATTTGTTCATAATGAATTTTTTTTTTTGGTCGGTTGTGGCGTTTGAACTCTGGGCCTGGGCACTGTGCCTGTGCTCTTCAGCTCAAGGCGAGCGCTCTACCGCTTGAGCCACAGAGCCACTTCTGGATTTGGAGAACAGAGTCTCACGGACTTTTCTGCTTGGGCTGGCTTTGAACCTCGATCTGGCAGATCTCAGCCTCCTGAGTAGTTAGGATTATAGGCGTGAGCCATTAGCTCCCGGCTCATAATGAAATTAATAATCATAGGGTTAATTAGAAAAAAGTAACTAATACTTTTTGGTGTCCATAGTAGGATACATATGAAATGCCTGTTTTGCATCCTTTGTGTGCAGTCTTAACTTTCACAACAAGCATAAATTTTAGGTGTTTCTTACCTACATACCTTATATGAGCTAATTGGTTTACAGAGATTATTAAATGTATTTAAGGTTTCTAAAATTAAAGTGATTGAGGCATGATTCGAACCATGTGGTTTAGGAGTATGCTGTCCCCAGCAGTATTCTCAGTATTTATGAATAGACTTGACTCAAAACTCATCGGCCCTATTATATTATGAAATAATGCTGTATTAATCAAATTCTTCATTGCTCTGAGAGAGTTATTTCAACTGTGTTTCAGAAGTTTCAATTTATGAAGTTTCAATTTGTGAAGTTTCAGAAGTTTCAATTCTTCATTACTTTGAGCCATAAGGAAGACGAATCATCATGGTGCGAACACATGGCAGAGCATAACTTCTCACATTATGGTATACAGGAAGAACAGGAGTGGCAGGAAGAAGCCAGTGCCAAGATATACCCTTCAAAGTTGCATCTGACATTCGACTTTTTCCCATGTCTCTACTTTCCACATTCCCATCACCTCCTGATAGTCTATCCAAATTTTGAATCCATCAATAAATCCCTGACCAGGTCAATGTCCTGTAATCTAAGTGTCTCTAGGAAAACTCTGCCAAAATACTAACTTATGCATCCCTTGATTTGGTAAAGTTGACACTAATAATAACTATCCCTAGAGTTAAAATCTACTTGGAAATGTAAGCAGTTCAAAATTCATCAGCTATTCAGCAATTTAATATCCAACCATTGTGACAGAAACTAAGGAGTGTCAATAGGGTGCTAAATTGTTTCTTACTATATGGGGATACAGTGATAACAAGGCAGTCAATCTTCCTGCTTCATAGAGTATGTTCTAATTAGAAGGGAAAATACAGGGCACATGATAAACTTACATAAAGTTAATAATGTTCATGAGAAATAAAAAATGAAGATTAACTAGAATGAGCAAAGGAAGACTGATGGGTGGATACTTAAAGGATAGACTAAAAATCTTTCAGGCAGACAAAATGGCAAAATACAAGCCTCCAGGGTGCATCAGTAGGCTCTGTTTATCTATTAGTCAATAGAATAAGTTTAAAGATTATATTAAAGTGGAATTAGACTATGGACTTGTAAAATTTTAATTTCTTATACTAGTTCTCTTCAAAGTGGTATATGTAGTAAATAATTCTATACTAATATAACTTCAAAATTATGCTCTGTATTTATACTGTTAGAAGTATTTATGATGTTATTGCTTGTGAAGTAAGAGATGGGTAGATAAACTATAGGAATATATTTGGGCAGTGTGGCTTGTACCTGTAATTTTAGCTGCTCAGCAGATTGAGATCTGAAGGTCATGGTATAAAGCCAGCCCAAGCAGGAAACTACATGAGACTGTTATTTCCTTTTAATCACCAAAAGGCAGGGAGTAGAGCTATAGCACTACAATTGAGCAAAAACCTCAGAAACAACACCTAAGCCCTGAGTTCAAGCCCCAGAAGCTACACAAACAAACACACAAAACTACAATAACAAAATACCTCCAAACTACAGGAATATAGAAATTATTTCAAAGTAATGTTTTTATTTAACCATATTATTGATGTGGCAATTCATCCTGCATTTTCAATACCCACTTATCTCCTAACAAAGGAATAAGGCCATTGTAACAAAATATGGGAGCTGAAATGTAAAACTATTTTTGTTTAGTAATTGTTATGGACAAGTTTAAAAAGTATCATTCTTTTCTTGAGACTGACTACATTTAGATACAGTGTGTGGTGGTTGTCATATTTGAAGTTCCTCATACAAAAAAGATTGCTAAAATAGTGAAAATATTGTCATAGAACTATGAACCAAGTACAGATCCCCTAAATGTAGGTTTTATTATGCCTTCAATATTTATTATTTAATGGGCCTTTTAAAATTCAGAAATTATCAATGATGGATTACTGTTGCATTTAGGAGGCATCATTCATTATTATGAACACTTTATAAAAATCCAAATGATAACATTCTTAAAGTTAGTGTAGTTGCATGTACGTCAAAAACAAGACTCAAACTAGAGTTTTATTTCAGACTACATTTATAGTATAAGAAAGCAGAAATTATAATTAGTGACATCTAGGAGGTAAAATTTAAGGTGTTAGTACATTGAATGTATTTATATTTTCTTCCCAGGCTATTGCCTGAACTACTTATATTGTTATAGCAAGGTAATGAAGCCAAGGAACTATGAGAAAGGTTAGGAATATTCTTATGTGCTTGAAAAATTAAAGACTATTTGATATTACATAGATGCATTTCTTAACTCTTTTCCAGTCCTGATTCTTGAACTCTGTGCCTGGGCACTGTCCTTGAGCTCCTTTTTCATCTAGAGTAATGCTCTTTCACTTTGAGCCACAGCCCAACTTCTGGTTTTCTGGCACTTAATTGGAGATAAGAATCTCAAGGACTTTTCCTGCCTGGGCTGGTTTCCAAATGCAATCCACAGATCTCAGCTTCCTGAGTACCTAGAATTACAGCCATGAGCCACCAGTGCCTAGCAGTCTCTTGACTTTTTAAAGTTATTTTCCAACTTGAAAGTATCAGTTAGGAAGAGATAGTTGCTGTAGAATGGTTTGAGCGTCCTAATTTGAGACCATTTTGTTCTTTGTTTTAATAAACTGTTATTTGCTTTTTGAGATATGGTGCTATTTTGATATTTGTTATAGATTTTGGTTTTGTAATAATTTTATTTTTGTTTTAGAATGGACTATAAATACCTTAAAATAAACTGGACTCCCTATGGTTAATCCTTATTCTGGACTGTTAAATTCTGTAGTTCAAGCCTATTCAGGCTATTCAGGGCATGAACACTAGCAGTACAGTTCTTTTAAAGTGGATAAAGAAACCTTGGAATATTATATCATATAATTTTACTACTAAGTTTTTAACACACAAAAAAATTGTGGGCTGAAGCTGGGCTCTGGTAGCTCATGCCTATAACCCTAGTTACACAGGGAATGAACACTGTTCTTTTTTTTTTTTTTGGTTGGTCGTGGGGCTTGAACTCTGGGCCTGGGCGCTGTCCCTCAGCTCTTCAGCTTAAGGCAAGCACTCTACTGCTTGAGCCACAGTGCCACTTCGGGTTTTCTACTGGTTTATTGGAGATAAGAGTCTCACAGACTTTCCTGCCCAGGCTGGCTTTGAACTTCGATCCTCAGATTTCAGCCTCCTGAATAGCTGGGATTACAGGCATGAGTCACCGGCGCCCGGCTGAGGAACACTGTTCTAAGCTAGCCTAAGCACAGAAATTTGAGACTCTTGTCTCAGGAATAGCACCCAGACTTTGAGTTCAAGGCTCAAAACTGGCAACAACAAAGGAATAGAAATGAAAAGAAAAATAAGTGCCATCTATGTTTCCTGAAGAACCTCTTATTCTGAAAAATTGGGGAAGAATTGTGATAGGCTCTGAGTTCAAGTCCTGTGGATGGTACAACTATAACAACAGAAAAATTGTCTGGATAAAATAGTTTCAAGTTATAGTACTTGCATACTACACACACACACACACACACACACACACACACACACACACACATTTAATTACTAGTACAGCCAGCACACACACACACACACACACACACACACACACACACACACACGTTTAATTACTAGTACAGCCAAAGAAGGGAATATATTTTGTACAGAAATGACGTATATATTCTATTTGACTTTTAAAATATATATTCTATTTGACTTTTAAAAATCATTAAATTTATCTTCTTATTTCATAGGGTGGGCTGAAAAATAGCAAACATGAATGCACCCTATCTTCACAAGAGTATGTCCATGAATTACGATCTGGCATTTCTGATGAGAAACTTCTTAATTGCCTGGAATCGTTGAGGGTTTCTTTAACCAGCAATCCTGTCAGGTGGGTGATTCATATTATTTTGCTGTGATTCACATAATTTACATTGTACATTAATTTGTGAATATGTGACTTTAGCCTCAAATTTATCTGACCTAAGGTATAATATTAGCAATAAATGTCTAATAATAGTATTGTAGTATTGTTTGGATTGTTTATGCTGTAAGCATTAACAATGCATTTGGTTAAGCTAATCTTTAATTAATAAGCAATTTTTATTTTTTTAGTAGTTGTACAAAGAGGTTACAATTCCATGAGTCAGGTTATGAGTATAATGCTTCTTGATCAATGTCACCTCTTCCATAGTTCTTCCCCACATCCTCCTCCCATCCCTTCTTCTCAGGTTGGGTTAAAAATGGATAATTTTTAAGACTTGGAATATTACTTGAATATTTCATTCCTCTAGTTCTATGAAACAGGGCCAGAAATACCCACTTCCATGGAAACCTATTCATGTAACTCATATAATGATTGTTCAAATTACAAATAGTAGTTGGGTATTTTATTCCTTTTAAAAGTTACATTCCAGATACCCCCACAATAGGTGAGACATCACTTGTATTGAGGTTTGAAGCTACCTCTGGCAATAAAGTTAGTGAAAAAAGTTTTATCTACAATTAACCAGCATAATGCTGGAAGTAAAGCTGTGACTCACAAAGCTCAGAGACATCATCCAGATCCTGAGTTCAAGCTGTAGTGATGCCACCTGAAAAAAAAAGAATAACAAACTCTTTAAGGTGCTATACATTTTGGCTATTAGCTACAAAGGATAGGTAAGGGAGAGGCTTCTTGCCAATGATGGATTCCAGTGATGTGTTTTCATTAACAAAAGCCTTGAAATTAATAGGGCCTGCAATAAAATGACATAAAAAATGGTCAGCGTAACATGAAATGCTTGAGGATGTACTTATATAATTGTGAGAATCTTACATTCTGACTTTACTGGAGTATACAAAACCTTGTGAGATTTTATTCATGATTTCTACATATATATATATATATATGTATGTGTGTACATATACATATAGATATGTATAGTATCTATATATAAGAAATAATCTGTAATATCTATATATGTATAGATTTATAGAAATATACACATATATAGATGTACACACATATATATATACATATGGAAAAATATAATTATATATGATTATTTTTGTGCTGGTCTTAGGGCTTGATTTTAGGACCAGGGCACTGCCCCTGATCTTTTTCAAGCTCAAGTAAAGTACTCTTACCATTTTCAGCCACAGCTCCACCTCCAGCATTTTTCCTTGTTATTGGAGATCAAATAGCACAGGCTTTCCTGCTCAAGCTGTCTTTTAGCTAGGCTCTTTAGATTTCAGTCCTCTGACTAACTGGAATTGCAGGTGTGAGCCACCTGTGCTTGGCTTTCTCCTCATATATTACAGCTAAGTCTTGTGCAGTTTTTATCTGTACAAAGAACTTTCAAAATAATTTAAAATTAATTGGGTTTGGTTTATATAATATTTTATATAAATTATTTTTATAGCCATAGTTCATTTAGTAGAATTATTTTAAATTGTAGGTTTATGAAAACTTTATAAGCACAGAAATAACCTGAGATTTATTTTTAGATATTATAATGTTTAAAATGACGATCGTGCCTTTCTACTAGAATGCCCCAAAATTAATAATTTGAGCAAGTGATGTGAGTTCTTAGAGAGCATTATTCACCATGTTAGTGATTTGAGAGTTTAGTCCTAACCCTACTACACCAAAACCAGTAGCACTTGTAAAATAGTGATGAACACTTTGGCTGAAAATTTCAGTTGATTAACTGGAGTAGTTATTAAATGAATGATTAAAGATGAAATAATCAGCCGTGCATTGGTGGGTCATGCCTATAATCCTAACTACTCAGAGGATTGAGATGTGAGGATCACAGTTCAAAGCCAGCCTGGGCAGAAATATATGTGAGATCATTATTATTTTTTCTTTTTCTTTTAAATAGTTTTTATTGTAAAGATACTGTACAGTGGAGTTACAGTTAGATGAGTAAGGTAATGGGTACATTTCCTATCTCCATGAGATTCTTTTCTCCAAGTAACCATGGAAAAAGCTGGAAGTGGAGCTGTGACTCATGTGGGTGTACGGGTATTGGATGCCGTCCAAGTACCTGAGTTCAAGCCTTATGATTAAAAAAAAAAGAAGTGGCAAGTATGAAGTGGCTGTGGTAGTGTGTATATAATCATACCAGTAGGGAGACATGTTAACAAGATGATGATTTCTAGACCAACTTGTGCTACTGGGAAAATCTGAAAGGAGTTTGTCTATAGATATACAAGACCATATGTCAAAAACGAAAACAAAAAAAAAACAAAACAAAAAAGCCTCCAAAACACACAACTAGAAATTTTGACATTCCATAACGACGGGGGCACATTTGGACAGATTTTTTTCGTAGTAATAACCAGTCTTATAAAGATTGTGAGAAATGCTTGAAATCATGTGTGTAGCTTTAAGAAGTCAGCCTAGTAATAAGCGTCTCCCTCAAAGTATGGTGTCATAGTGAGTCTGTGTCAAGTCCTGATTTGCTTGAGGCTTCTGCACTCTTGTGAATGGTTTTCCACGTATTGTGAGTTAGGCTTGAAACCAGAAGCTAATGATCTCAGAGACATAGTTGCTGCATGTAGAAGCAGTCTACAGAGGGGCTGACTTAGCCCAGTAGGTCTTGTGTCCCCTTTTTGCTGAAGCTACTCTCAAAATGTAGAGAAGGTATGGCAGCGCTGCTAGTATATTTGGTGCTAGTGAAGGCCACAAACAGCCACTAGAGGAGGCAAATTTCCCTGAATTAGGAAGGCAGTCTGGCAGTGTATCTAGGAAATATTACCTTGTAGCATAAGCCAGCTTCTGTCCTCTATTATGGTGAACAATATGTTCACCCTTAACGGGCATGAAGTTGGCCATGTCTCAGTTATTGGAGTTGTCAAGAAGATTGAGGTCACTTCAAAATTATTTGCTATAAAATTGACGATATGACCTCACAGCCAATTGATGCCCTTGAGGATGTTGTAGAGAAGAATGGTACGCAGTTGGTGATGGTCAAGGCCTAAGCGAAAGTGTTCTGTTTCCTCCAGTATTTGGGTGGAAACAATATTCTTCAGATAGTGTGTATCCACTCGCTGAAAAACGTGAGTAAGCTCACCATCCATATTGTGGAAATGGTGAAATCACATATGATTCTGGGAAATTCCTACCCAGTCTATGTGGGGCAAAGTATTGCATCTGAGAAGGTGCCAGAAATGGTGGGCATCACTGGTGGCAGGAATGAGGGTAGCAACCACGAGAGCAGTGAGGAGTGCAGTGGCAACCTAAGTGGCCATAAGAGCAGTGGCCACAGGAGCAGCAGCCATGGGAACAGTGGCATTCTAGTTTCCTTGCGAGTCCACCCACATGGAGGAGGTGCTGCATTTGGTTCACAAGTGCACTCTCATGGAGGGCAAGAGTTTCAGCAGTCTGCAGTGAGAGCTTCCCAGCTGAACCACTGAGAATATTCAGCAAGCCATCAAGCCACATCCATACCACTGTGGTTGCTGAGCCCTTCAAATAAGCTGTCTGAGACCATGAAGCAAACATTCATCATCCAAAAGCCCTTGCCTCCTGCCCTTGACATGTTGACTTTTAAGGAGAGGGACTTTTCAACAGAAGATCCTAACTGACATCCTCTAGCAACTTGGCACTATAATGTTTAGAAGTTTACTGTTTTCCTATTTGAAGCTGAAAGAAAACCATGCTGTTTTGAACTTTTCTCTTTTCCTGACTGAAGCTGTTTTTCCCTAAAATAATGTTTATTAATGAAAGGAAGATGGAGAAAAGGAGCTATATAAAAGATGAGAGACTATGTTTGTCTTAAAATTAGTTATTTCATGTTTGGACCTAGATTGTTATAATTATTAAATTTCATAAGTATAATTGATTCATTCAAATGTGCTAAAAATGGTAGCATGAATTCAAATTTCAAAAGGTCAAGTGCTTATTGCCACAGATTTATGGTTTCTTAAGACGAAATACTGTTATATTCCTCAAGTCATTTTTAGGTCAGCAGGGCAGAAAAGTCTGTGACTCTTACTTTCAATTTACTAAGGAAAATGTGGGAAGAAGATATGTAGATCAAAGCGGTTGGAGTAGTCCTTGACCACAAATGCTTAGGAACAATGCCCAAGTCCTGAGTTCAAGCACCAGGACTGGCACACACACACTCAGAAAAAGTTTAATATTGTGATATTTGGATTAAATTAAAATTCTTAGCTGGGCACTAGTGAATCACTGTAATCCTTTGTACTTGGGAAGCAGAGATCTGAGGAGTCTGATTAGAAGCCAGACCTGGTTGACAAGTCTGTTGAGACTCTTATCTCCTATTAACCAGAAATAAAAAGCCAGATGTGGAGCTGTGGCTCAAGTGGTAGAGTGCTAGCCTTGAGTATAAATCCCCAGAGACAACACTCAGGCCCTGAGTTTGAGCACTAGGACCAGCACCCACACACAAAAAATCTGGAAGAGGATGTGTGTCTCAAGTGGTAATTTGCCAAGCTTGAGTGAAAAGCCAAGCAACAGTGTAAGGTCCTGAAATCAAGCCCTAGTATTGGCCCAAAACAACAATCCCCCTTCTGGGAGCAAAAAAGCTAGAAATGGAGCTGTGGCTCAAGTGGTAGAGCACTAGTCTTGAGCAAAACAGTTCAGAGACAGTGTCCAAGGCCCTGAATTCAAGCCTTTGGATTGGCACAAAGAAAAACATCTGACTTGAGTAAAAAGAAATAAGCTGAGTGCTGGTGGCTCATGCCTATAATCCTAGCTACTCAGGAGGCTGAGATCTGAGGATTACTGTTAAAATCCAGCCTGGGCAGGGAAGGCTGTGAAATTTATCTACAATAAACCACCCCAAAACCAGAAGTGGTGCTGTGGCTCAAGTTGTAGAGCACTAGCCTTGAGCTGAGGGGACAGTGCCCAGGCCCAGAATTTAAGCCCCATGACCGTAA